TTTCGCCACCGATCATGATTCATGTCTAATATCACACAAACTAGAAGATACAAAGGCGAAAACTAACAGAAGAGGCAGGGCAGCGAAAACGGGACTTCAAGTGAATGTAGAGGAGACAGAGGTGATGAAGATATCCAATCAACAACAACTAGCACCAATCACCATCAACGGGAGAAACTTAAAGGAAGTAGTCTCTTCCACCTACATAAGCAACCTCGTTTCAACTACAGGCGGCAGCGGCACAGACCAGGAGGTCAAAACCAGGATCGGTAAGGCAGCAAGACAGGCTTTCATTTATCTGAAATCAGTGTGGAGATCTACTGCACTCAGCATGAAGTGTGAACAGGATCCGGATTTTCAACACCAATGTCAAGTCAGTACTGCTATATGGTTCAGACACTTGGCGTGTCACGGAAACCATTTCTAACAAACTACAGATATTCATCAACAGCTGCTTACGCTGACTCCATACTGAAGATTAGATGGATTGCCAGAAAGAATAAACAACAAGGAACTCTGGGAACGAACCAACCAAGGACCTATCACCCAACAGATATGCAGAAGAGAGTGGAGATGGATTGGGCTGGGCATGCAATGAGAAAACCATTCCGGGACATCACGCGCCAGGCCTGGTCGTCGAGTGGAATCCAAAGGGGAAATGACGAGTTGGGCGTCCTAGCTGAGGGTGACATGAAGGAGATCATGTGAGGAATAAATGAAAGCTCGTGAGCAGTCGTGGCGCCAGGTTCAAAAGACTGCAGAGAAGAGAGTGCAACAGAGGCGTGCTACTGAAGTCCTATGTTCCACTAAGAACCCAAGGGATATATATGTAATTACCGAAAATACGTATTCGCTTCAAACTCTGCCTTCTAATTATCACAATGAGAATATTTAAATCATTCATATGTATCCATAACGTATTTATCACACCTCATATCTTACAGAATGTAGCGATAAAATATTGAGTTACATCCTTTCGTTTAGGTAATTTCAGTAGAAACATTTGGCAAATTCATAAAGTAATTATCAAAGTGTGAAAGTGGAGCTCAGTTGTTACACACTGTTGCAGAATCACTTCTTAATCTCATGATCACAAAAGTATTTTTAAAGTTCATGATCTGATGTAATGACAGGAATGTTGTCTGCTAGTAGGAGCGTAGGCATCTGGCACCATGATGATTAAGTACACTACAAACTGCTACAATAATCTCACTAGTGTTTTTAAAAGCATTTATTATTTAAATTAGCCAAATTAAGCTTCGCGTCTAATTTTTCTACTCCATCTAAACTTTCAGGTTAGAAAATAAGGTTTGGCAAGTTCTACACAGAGCAAGTTTCGATATAAACGTATTTGTGGAAATTACTGTTTGAGTACTGACAAATAATTTCAACACTGATCACAAACTCTCAGAACATCCAAGACAGTGATAAGAGTTCTTTCTAGAGAATCGGCATATTTCACTTGGTATTCCTAGGCTTTAAGATGACCGAAGGTATAAGTAGCAGCAATGCTGTGATGTGTAGTATTCAGACTGAAGTAAGTCTATACATGAGAGGTTATCTGTGTAGCACTTAGGCCGACTTCGAGAAATTGAGATATATGTGTCATTCAGTAATATAGTATGAATTTAGTAAAACAGTTTCATTCGGAAAGCTGATTACATTACTTCAAAAAATTTAGTGAATTGTGGTGGCTAGTAGTGAAATCCGGAATGAGAGTTTTCTCCCATTTAGACGTCGTCAACTGCACGTGCGTGGCGTCCAGTGGGTGACGCTGCTACCATCAAAACTCCAACTCATAGCAATGAGTCTAGTCGTAGCAGATTTTCCACTAGGCTATTGAATCACGACAGAGATTGCTCGGTCTATGAGCATATATGTTTAGAATACACATTACATATCAGTGAACTTACAGATTTCATGTCTTGGTTTGACCATACCTCGTCTGCGTTTATGTAACGATACACAATGAACTCGTTTATGCAACAGGATCCACAAACATGATTTAACGTACACTTAAGCTTCGGAGTATTATAATTTACTCCTGAAAAACACTATGCCTAGCACTACGAATGATTACTCAATGATTTCACAACACGTGAACAATTACCACGTTTCGTTTCGTTTCGCGAAACACACTGGACCACCACTATATACCATACTCAGCAATAAAAGGTGTCCGAATATCATAACACAAAGAATACTGTAGACTGTCAGGTGATATGCATGTATCAATTTAAACTCAAACGAACAACACTAAGCATTTGAAGCTGTTATAACATTTATGACAGTCACTTTCCTAAATATTTAACTTTATTCTGCAGTTCTATTTCCTTGAAACAAAACTTTTATCTGATTGCGAATGGAATAAATGAAAAATATTATGCACACTAAACTACTAGCAAAAAACAGTGAAAGGGTAGATAAAATATGAACAAACACCCAGAGAAATAAAACAGAGGAGAAGTTCATCATATGAAATCACGTTAACAATCGGGTAGTACGGATAGAAGGTAAGATGGAAATATACAGGTAAAATCAGAGATTTGTGTCAAGAGAATGTCAGCATGAAAAGGCGCTTCGAAGACTTTCTATTGAAGTGTTAGATAGAAGAAATGCAGTTCTTGAAGAGTAAGATAGATAAAAATCAAACACCTTCAGAAAATTTACAACGATAAGATAAGAGTACTGAAGGATTTTAAAATTCGGAATGAATTACACAAACATAATATACAATCTCACAAAACACTGAGATTAGCTTATGAATGATTGTGATAAAAAAGAAATCTGCAAATCTGTTCGTACACTGTAAACCTACAAGATATAGAAACAAAGGATTTGAGTAAGGTAGGTCTCAAACCTTTGAAAATTGCTGCAGCACCTTCTACTTTCCATATTTCAACCAAGCATCTCCACAAGCCGCCCTGTCTGTTAGGAATCTGGCCGAATTGAATACGTGCTTCTTCGAAACCCTAGGAAAAAAACAAAAAGTGATAAGTGGACGTCACCTCCAGTTAAGACTGAAAGCCTAAAATAAAAATGGACCAGTAATGCAGACGGAACAGTAAAACTGAAAACTTCATAGACAAAAGAAACTTTATCATTCCAGTGTCACAGCAACTCCAAAATGAGAAAGAAAGTTAACACTTCAATTGTCAGCAAAACTTCTTCGCAGCATTTTCGAAGGTCTCACGTAGTAATGGAGACCACTTTCTCGTTATAATCTGTTGCTACATATACCAGATATATTAACAAACATACAAGAGTAACGTTAGCAGTTGTCACAATACACGCACAGAATACACGGTTTAAATATATTCTATGACAACGCATAGACAGAGAAGTAAGATGTTCTTATCAAACCGTCATTGCGTATCCTTAGACGTTCGACTCGAGACACTTCATTAAAGCTTGGCTCACCATCCCGAATACATCAATTTAACTATTCCTAAAGAATCATCTAAGTACGCCACATGATTATACAGGTCTGTCTCCAAATACAAGAACATTTGCCAACATTGACTAGAAAAGGTAAAAGAGTGATAAGTTCTTTTACTACCATACCTGATCTTTACTGTGATAAACCGTATGCTGAAGCACTACCACATTTGACTGACTCTCTTACATTTTTTTCCATTTAGCTTGAGATAAGGCTGTGACAGCAAGGCTGACCGGACATGATACCCCTCAAATGCTCGAGATCATTGCGAAAACTCTTGGTCAATTTACGTTAAGTTGCTGTCGCTCTTTATCGTGGTCACAGTTAGCTGAAGTAAGCCATCTCGTATCAATAAGTTCGCATGACCTTGCGCAAATCCAATGGCATTTCCTAAACTTTGGCTGTACGTTACCAACTTTCTTCAACGCTGTCTCTATAGTAAACTTAACATCAGGCAGGATGAGAACTGCTGTCACCTTCCCACAAATGATTACCTAACACCACTGCCAAATACTCACCTGACGTTGGCATCTTCTAATCGAGCACAGACAAGCTTTACTATCGCCTCTCTCCTGCGACTAGTTTTAGAGGCTCACAGCTCTGTTCGGAAAAACCCATTTCCAGACGTAGACCATTTCATCACGGTTTATGAACCTTTTGATGACGTCCCCTGGGGTGAACAGATCTGCAGTAACTGAATGAATGAGATAAGCTAATGACGAGACTCATTCAACAAGCTTGCTCCGTAGATAATGAGCCACACCTATTGTGTGTGAGACCCAATATAACCACCTGCCTGCCCAAACCTCGGTAGGTGGAATGGTGTTGGAACCCACGAACCACTGCTGGAGAGTCAACTGCCTAAACCAATGAGCCACGATTCCATGAATGAGGTAGGCTAGAATGTAAATCATTATTTAAGATGCGAGACTCTATATTCGGATCATCTCTCATCTCATGACAAGAAAGTGGAAAAAGGTCTAATCGACCCAGTTTCCTTTTCAAGGAGAGGTTGGAGGGCGCTGAGACCATCTTCGTTCTTAGCCACCATAACATGTCAACTTCCTATTTGAAATATGAACTCGCTGATTAAATCACTTACTCCAAATCCAGTAATAAAAAAGATGATTAAATGACAAGATCTAAGTAGAACCTCGCACACAGGTGCATCGGCTCAAGTTGCCACACTTCACAGTAGTATACAAAGAACAAGTGCATAGAATAGGAGTGATCTAAGTAGAAAAAGTTGTGTGAAAGAATAAACAATCTCACGATAACAATCAGTGCGAATATTCGAGCTTTAGATGTCAAAGAATGAATACATCTGAACTATTCTGACCGATTTTCAGCCATGTCACCAAGAGTTCTCAACCACTGATTCCTTTCGTCTCAGGCGATCCATTCTTTACTGGTTTCCACAAAGACGAAACTCCATTTACCATCACCCTCTACCTTCCATCATTAAGAAGATACTTGACCCAGTTCCTAACTAAGTCATTGATCTCAAAGTTCCTCGGCTTCTTTTTGAGACTGAGGTTAGAAAAGTTATCGATGAATACTACATAAGTTAAAACATTCATGTCGCTAGTGGCAGTCCAATAACCTTTTGCAATGATGAGATTTGCTAGACATGAGCGGCTGATCCTCACCCATGTCCTTCCAAAGTTAAAAGTCCATTCCCCTCGGTATGCAATAGAATGGCATTATGGATTATCTTTTCCAAAAGCCTAACCAACTAAACTAGTCAAACTAACCCGATGGTAGTCAACTATTGAATCTATATGGTCAGTTCTGTAGACTAGAATGATGACGGTATCTGTCCAATTTCTGTATGACTTCTATTGATCCAATCGCAATAAACATACGAGTTGGCGATCTGGCGAAGATAACCCCTTAATGCTTACAATTCACAGAGATGTGGCTCATTCGAACTGCAGGACTTGTCCAGGTTGAGGCTATGGAGCAGTTTCAGGATGGCCTTCGCCTCCATGATACATTTGACCTGTCGAAATCAAAGGATATTGACAGAGACCTTTGACACCCAAAAATCTAGTTGTAGATGCAACTCGATTAACAAACAAATCAGGAAGTTATAAAAGACTGAGTAATAAACAGGAAATAAAATGAAATTTCATACAAAATAAACGAAACTATACGACATAAAACACGGGTACCCATTTGAGTTATATCATGTGACAAAAAACACTAAGGGGATAAGTAACCATAGTAATGACATTTTCGGAAATACGACGAATAGGATAGACGAATCTATAAATTCTCAGATACAACACGCCAAAGTTTCCTGTTTGTTTAACAAACCACAAAGAGAAAGCCTGAAATCAGAAAAACAATTACGGATTTCAAGAATCGGTACCATATCTTGGTTTAGTCACACTATTAGCTGATTCTACGCGATCTAAAACATGGATTTGAGGCACAACGTGGTTCGATGTGAGCAACATATAAACTCAAAACATAATCTTGTTCTACTAAATGAGCGGTTACTTTTGCTTCCAATTTTCTAATATCTTCTAATGGGATGGAAGCAAAAGTAACCGCTCATTTAGTAAAACTTTTGAATATCAATGCCATAACCTTGTTAACCGATAACAAACCTCTCCTCTCAATCTTCGGGTCGAAAAGTAAGTGGTATCCCAGTTCATTCCGCCAATAGACTACAGTAGTGGGCGGTAACATTATTGGGTTATGATTTCCATATGAAATATCACCGGACAGAAGACTTTGAACACGCAAACATAACTTCAAGACTTACAAGTGAATATCTTACACCCAGTGGAGACACGATTACCGCATTGGTATCTACAGAAGGCTATGCAGTTCCTTAATTAGCTTGTGCAGTCCGGTCGCTTTCTATCGTGACGGCTCAAAACGGAAAAGAATCTCATCAAGATCAAATCGATACAGCAAGTCATCCATTATATGTTCAGACGAAATGGCTGCAAACACTTTTCACTAGTGACGTGAAACAACCAGTTTGCAGAACAGAATGCCTTTGTGTTGCCCGCGATCACCTCATGTTCGGAGGACGCATAGTGATCATGAAGTCTCTTCGCCTACAAGTCATAACACTGTTTCACGTGAATAGCCAGGAATAGAACATATGAAAACTACCACCACTACCAGAAGCTATCTTTGCTGGTCCAATATAGATTCTGATATGGCTGAGTTTGCCAGTCACTGTGCATCATGTCAGAAGGAAGCTAAGAATCCTCTGTACCTTTCACTATAACGTCGTTCATCGCCAGACCACCCTTAAGCTAGAATTCGTATCGATTTTGCACATCCATTGCAAAGAACACTTTATCTGGTCGCTGATGGTGTTCATTTCAAGTGGCCTAAGATGGTCACAATATTGCCTTTGTTGGTACGCTGAACGATTGATGCCCTAACAAATATTTTTAATATATTAATATTTTTTAATATATTTAATATTTTAATATATTAATTATGTTATTTTCCCAATTCTGAACGTCATATATATATATATATATATATATATATATATATATGTATATATATATATATATATATATGTATATATATATATATATATATATATATATATAAACCACTCGTGTCTCAGGTTATTCTTAACTTAAGCTCTTTACACAGTAAACTCTGCTGCCCAGACCGGTCTTCCTTCTCTGTGTTTTCTTTTTACAGTTTCGGAGTCGGTGATATCTGGTGCACAAGTTAGTTGTTAGTTACACTATTTTTATGCCTCATCTAAATCTCAGTAGGTGCAGTTGAATAGTGACATTGGCTCCAGTAAATGTGACTTACACCCCAGTGTACATTAAAAAATAAATAAATCGGATTAATTTGAGTCGCGAGACTGGCCATGAATTTATTCACCACATAAAACTCAGTGATTGATGACATCTGAAGGACTAAGATAATGAACCATAAAGTCAAGACAGCATTTGCATATATCCAAAAGTAATGATAATTCAAACAATTTCTTACCCGCACTTGCATACGTTTTTTGACCATGTCCAACGGATAAATTATGCACTTGGAACCTACTCCTGCAAGTCCCCCACCAACCATACTTTGGATAGCACCTTACACAAAAAGTAACGACGCCAAAACAATTACTAAATCAATAGTAGCAAGAAAAGAAGAACAATAATAATACCGAAAAGATCGAACTTCCCACTGAAAACCAAACGCGGTGTGATTATTGTAGCAGGCAGTACATAAATATAACACTCCCATTAGGAGTTCGAGATTCAAACAGCGAGAGTTTAAGTTTCAGTACACATTGTGCTCGCACTACATCTGCGACTGGCTTTATCTAATGACCCTAATGCAATTTCAATTTTAGGAATGAGATGAAACTAATGATCTCAGTACGATTTATGGTACTCATAAAATTTACGAGCCACGTTATCCTACTAGACGAAGAGTAAAATTTAGAAGCACTCCTACCTGTGAGTTTTCTAAACATTTGGACATCTGACTAGGTCCAATTAGAAACCATTCTAAATCTATACCAATTAACTATTATGACCTGAAGCATAGATTAAATGACATACATTAAGATGGAAATGAAGAAATGGTTAGTTTTGACTTAACTAGTTTACATAATAACATACCGATCTCCCATGGCTCTGAAAGCACTCACAAATAAGCTCAATAACGACCATGAGCTGACACTACGAACTATGGTGCCAAAAGAGGAGATCATGTTAGGAGTGCAGCTATGCCGAAGTTCCACAATCAGAATAAAATATAGAAGCAATAGAAGTCGTCATGAGATGACTAATATTCTCTATCGTGCCAGACATATTTATGGATAGCTGGGAACGGGTAGCCGTCGAAACATTGCGTCTGGCTTCAAAAATATGGTTTCCATGTATAGGTTACATGTTTACAGCAATGAAATCTGAGTACATAGACACTTTCTCTACACATATCAATTCAGTAGTCAACGCAATCCAATCCAATTTACCTACGAGTTAGCAATGTTGGATCGCAGGATAAAACGATAATGCAATCAATAAATCCCCACAAACCTCTAAATTGAAAAACGAAAACAAAATGAGAGTTTAGACGCCAGTGTCTATAGAAAACCTCCACAATCAAATCGTTACTCACACTTCAAATCACTTCACACTATGTCAGTTAAAGTTGGCTTGGTGAAATGTTGAAGTAACAGGGCGAAAAAACTCACCAGTAAGGCAACATATCAGATACATCAACGACACCTTACTCATCACCAATCACCCTCCTAAATAGATAACAAACTCTTTAGTAATCGTAAAAAATATGACTAGTAGTGGTAACACAGGTGTTAATAATTATTAACAATAATAATAATGGCAACAACACCAAATGAATGGGCCAGGAAGAATGTATACCGAATTAATAACTGATGCTTAAAATTTTCAGCTGAATAAACTAATTGACCGAATTGATAAGTCTCTGTTGGCATAAGGGTCATTTTTATCTTGATATGATCTTATATATTAACTGAGTGATTACCGGTTAGCGGCTAGCAGTGGAATTACGTTAAAACATACTCCCTCCCATCTAGCACGTTAACCGGTTATACTACGACCCAATGGGGTGCAAGTACAGCCATCTACTGAAGTTCATCTCACGAAACCACAACATGTACTGATCATCTTTGCTTCTTCCAAATAGTCCCAGGATTAGCAATTAGTGAGAGATTTGGGAGGCGATGTGATGAAGTTCGTAACACATGTCAAAGCAACAAAAGACGATCATAAAGCTGAAATCCCCAAATCATAAGCTCAATCATACCCTGTCTGCTCTCAGAACTACTTATGTCGCGTTTTCACACGATGAAAGCAATCCTATGGACAAAACGGAAACATCAAAACGCTGTAAACTCGGTATTTTACAGTCAAACCAACATCATGTTGGTGCCTGATATGGTCAAGATTGGCTCACATCACTTTGATTTTTGATGTGGTTGCAAATCGCATTCATCATATCTACATCAACACTCCCTAGACCACTCAGAGGCACTAACTTTTCGACTACTTCTAGCGATTCACCAGTCTTTCACCAACATTTAAAATCAGCTTTTACTCTAATGGAGCAAAACGAATGTCATATTTACAGACACTGCTGACTGATCAAATGCGAATTCACTAGCCCGTAGGATATTCAACAGCAAGACAGAATCATACAAATGCACAAGGCCGGAAACTTTCCTTTCTGATACCAGACTTACATCATCACGCACCTTCAGAGCTGTTACCAGAATCTCATCGAGGTAAAAGTTAAAGAGGGAATGTAGAAATCAGGTAGCCTTAGTTGCATAGCCTCACTTCTTTTCATATCGGGCAATGCAGATGACGACAAACCTTTCAAAGACGTAACAGACAAGTCTACAGTGCAGTCCTGTCCAACGGATCAAATGCAGATTTTGCTTCTTGTGTCGAATAAGTTATAACAGAAACTAAACTACACATCTAATCAAACGTACCAATTGAATGATTACTACTATGGGATTGTGAGGAACTTCCAGTGATACTGGGGTCAAAGTAATTTCTCATATGGTCCACAATTTGATTGAAAGTATGATAGATAGCAAACTGCATTCCCGTCTGTGGGGCTACCAGAAGAAGAGAAGGCACAATTCCACGAAAGAACCCTTGAGGACCTTCTCGAGTTATTATGCAAACAGCTGCATGTGACATACTCCTAGAACGAGAAAAAAACAAGTAGTTTAAGGTTGTGATAGCTTCAATCATTCACTCAACAACAGTGATAAAGACGATTCCAAAAATATGGTAAAGTGTTCTTGATAAATCAAGTTATTCAACATAAACACCATTCTAAAAAATGAATACGAATTACTGAAAGAAATTACAGCTGAACTGAAGTTCGAGTCTGTTTTCATAAATTAAACACATCAATTGTAAATAAACGTTCTTTGCCAGATGGACACCAATGACTGCGTTTAAATGACAGCTTATGTAGTTCAAATGGATGTGCACTTACTGATGCAATATTATACCACCTAGGATGCACACTAATCATAGTTGAACATTTTCTGAAGCAGTGCTCATTGGTGAGTAAACCTTTGACACTGTGATAAAATGATTAGAGACTACATTAGTTTATTTGAGTATAGATTTAATGAACAAAAAGCAGGTTATCATAGGATCAGCATCTGACAAATGCAGTAGGAATGACACGAAACCTATCCCCAAGACGTGGAAAATTCTACTACTACCAGAAAGCGGGAATATGAGTTGACAGAACTGTAAAAACCAGATTACAGAAGTTGCATGATCACCTTCACGTGATCATAACGAATAATTTGTTTTTAGAGTGTCCTACATCCAATAATACTCTCTATCACTGTGTAATGTCTAATAAAAAATATAATACTGAAGTAGTTGCTGCCTTATTGTAGTCGAGTTCGCCTGTCACTTTAATCCGTTGTAAACTATAATAATTGCTCTTTATAAATATTCTAATAAAGATGATTTGATCTGTCTGCGAACTCTGAACACCGGATTTCTGCTTAAAAACCTTCTGACTGACAAGAAGGAGACAGATGAAATATACCTGTCTGGAGAATGCCCCAACAAAATATGAGACCCTCTGGATGCGTTCATGGGGGAAATTCACACAGCATTCATAATGCATTTCATATACGCTAAGTGTAAGATTATACACTCTAGAGTGGAAAGACGAGTGAATGTTTTAATCACTTCATTTATTTGGGCGGTCGCTTCAGAGCTCACGGGCATTTTGTTGACAAAATATAAGCAAGTACATAAAAAGTTGGTTTCGCACCATCATCAATATCAACATAGGACCAGGCATTACTGCGAAACGGTCCGAGTTGCCACACCTCAGTACAGTACATCAAGTAGAGAAGTAGTGAGGTGAAGGATGAAGATAAGAGAATGCAGTCAAAATAAATATAAAGTATGAGAATAAAGAAAGGAGGAATGACAAAATGGTGAGATTCGACATAGCGTTGTTAAGATGAGGATAATGTGTGTATGCATCTGCGCCGCTGACATCGGTTCTGAGTCATTTCACCTAGAGTCTCCAACCACTGGTTCCTCTTGTCCCGCCGACCCCAAACACCTAGTCTGCATCGCCCCACATGGCTCAAACCAACAGTCAGAGACTTCATACATTGGTGCCATGTTTTAGTCTGGCCACCTCGGGCCTCTTTCCAGCCTGAACCCACTTCAGCCAACATTGTGTGACGAGGCAATCGGTGACTAGGCATACGTAGTACGTGTCCCAACCATCTCAATCGATGAAGGTTCATAACCTCGTCAACTGATTTACCTCCACTCCCTAAAACTCTACACCTGACTTCTGCATTACCCACGTGGTGACACCACGGAATACGTCTTATACTACGAAGGCAACGGTGGTCAAACACCTGAAGCCTTCTTATATCTTCCACTTTCAATGGCCATGTTTCACAGCCATACAGTAGAACAGACCGGACTGCTGTGCAGTACACGCGACCCTTAATAGACAAACGAATATCACGGCGGCGCCATAGGTGGCGCAAATTGGCAAAAGCCAATCGAGCCTTTTGTATCCGTGCAGAAATCTCATCGGCAACTAACCCACCAGGGTTGATCCTACTTCCCAGGTAAGTGAAGTGGTCAACACACTCAACCACTTCACTCTCTATTGTTAACCGCGGTACCGCTGAAGACCAGTCCTGGAGCAAAAATTTGCATTTGGGTGGTGAAAATCGCATCCCAAACATTCTCAAATTCCCACTCAAAGTGTTCAGAAGACTCTGCATCTTGTCAGCGTCTTCACCTAACAGGACTATGTCATCTGCATATTCTAGATCTAAGGAAAATTCACCTGTGATCAGGTCAACGTCTGTGTAATTAGGTGACGAGAGGGAAACCTCCATAAGAATATCTATGATAAAATTAAATAAGAATGGGGATAGTGGGCATCCTTGACGGACACCACTTGATGAGTATAGCTCCCTGGACAACTCACCATAGGCTCTAACATGCCCACAAGTGTTCGAGTAGAGAGCTTTCAATAAGGTGATGTACTTACTAGGCACGCCTTTCAGTGACAGACATTGCCATAAGACTTCTCGATCAACGGAGTCAAATGCCGCCTTCAGGTCGAGAAATACAGCTATTGTCGGGCGTCTGTAAGCATGCCTATGTTCCAGGACCTGGCGCAGTGTGAATATTTGGTCGATACATCCACGGCCAGGTCTAAAGCCTGCCTGGTTTTCTCGGGCTTGCTGTTCCCGAGCTCCACTCAGGCGTCGGAGAATTATAGAACTTAGGATCTTAGACACTATGTTTGTCAGGCTGATTCCTCTGTGGTTATCACAAGAGGACTTCTCGCCTTTCTTGAAGACTGGGATGATCAGTGACTTAGACCAGTCGGAGGGGATCGTATTTGATTCCCATATACTGGCTAACACTTCCGTTAGCCTGACTAAGAGAACTCTACCACCATTCTTGTATACCTCAGCAGGTAGTCCGTCTGGTCCTGCTGCCCTTCCCGTTTCAGGCTACCTACCGCTTTCTCAACTTCTTCTAGTGTTGGGGGACCTGTCTCTATGTCCCATTCAGGGTCCGACTGGATAGCGGGCAGCGCAATGGTGGCTGGAGGCCAGTTAAACTGTTCCTCGAAGTGTTCTGCCCATCGTCCCAGTCGTCTCTCCTGCGAGTGAATCGCAGATCCGTCCTTCTCCGCTATAGCCTCACTAACTGTTGTTGACCATTTCCCCCCAGTCTCCTTAATAAGTCTAAATAACTGTCTACTGTTACCGATCGCCGCTGCCTTTTCCATCTCTTTAGCCTTTGCTGCCCACCACTGTTCACGATCGTTGCGCAGACTTTTCGTCAGTCTATTTTTAAGTTGCGCTCGCTCTTCATTGTACTCAGAGCCTGCAGGGATGCATTCACGTGCATCCATTAGTTTGGAAGAAGCTGCTGATATCCACTGGCTCTTTTTAGCCATTATCTTGGAGTCGGCTACAGTCTCCAGTGCTGCTTTTACAGTAGACTGAAGATGGCACCAAGCTTCTTCTGGATGAGTGACAGTCTTTTGTTCCGATAACTGCCTAGCCAACTTCTCACTGAACACGGCTTTGGTGTTTTCGTTGTCCAGCAGAACTCGTAGTGGTTTTGTTGCCAAATTTTTTCTACGTCCATTGAGACGCAGGCATATACGTGCTCGGACCAACGCATGATCGCTGTCCAAACACGTACTCCAGAAGGAGCGGCAGTCTTCCACCGATCCTCTCCAGCGATGACTAATAGCAATGTGGTCTATCTGTGTCCATCGCTGAGTCGAGCTCGGTGGACGCCAGGTCAGACAGTGCCTTTCTTTATGTCTGAAATTGGTGCTGGCTAAAAATAGGCGGTTATCTGAGCATAGTTGTAATAGGCGATCACCGTTATCTGTACGTTCAGCTGGGATTCCGAAAGTGCCACCTAAGTGCCTTTCTGCCTCACTCAGTCTACCCACCTGTGCGTTGAGGTCACCTGCAACAACCACCACGTCCGAACGTTTGGCTTTCGAGAGGAGGTTAGACAGTTTATGGTAGAACTCGTCCTTCACTTCATCCGAACTACAGTCAGTGGGTGCGTAAGCAGAGATTACAAAGAGACAACGGCGAGTCTCACTATTCCTTTTAGTTCTCACTGTGCCGTTCAGCCTCATAGCGCAGAGGCGACTATCAACTGGGATCCAGTCTAGTAGTGAGTTTTCTGCCCTGGTGCTTAATGCTATACCTACACCTGCAAGACCACGAGAGCTAGCTATCGAATCTCCAGAAACTCGAAGGGTGAATTTTGCGGATTCACCAGATTGGTCAGGAGAGGTCAGGTGAATAACCACACTTGGGTCCTGTATGCGTGTCTCACAAACACAGCACACATCCATGCCCGAGTTGCTAGAGTCTTTGCCAACGAAGCCTGTTGGCCAATTTGACGGAGGGTGCGGACATTGAAGGCTCCAATATGTAATTTGGAGCGTGGTTTAAGGAGACCAGGGATGCTGTTCTGTGGACTCAGATCGTTGTCGAAGGCTGCAGAGGTAGGAGAAATTGAAGATGATGCAGCATCATTAATTAAGAGACGTGAAGGAAGATTAGAAGGTAATGATGGAGGAGGAGGATAGCAGTCAGAAGAAACTTGGGTGCTGACAGAGTTGTGAGGGCGGTTGACACTTCCCGGCTGCCCACACCGTGGAAGGCTATTTCTTCTTAAGGTACCTGAAAGAGATTTGTGTGACCGCAGAGCCCATCGGACATCTGCTTGAGGCCTGTCACACCCAGCCTTTTGAGTATGATTATTTTGAATTTTGTATTTTTGGGGCCGGATGGTCGAAAGGAAACGACAAGTGAACCAACACCGCCGGCCCGGCAGACCGTGGGGCGTGGTGGAGTGTGTTATTTTTGGGGCCGACCTTTTCTAACCCCCCCTTCCACTGAGAAGGCAGCATCAGCATGGCACTGCTGGTCATCCAAGGGAAACACCTTACTGCTGTCACACCCCATCCAGCTAGCAGCAGTACGACTTCGCCCTCAGACCCCCATCATAGTGTAGCAATTTACACTATAACGGTAACTGCTTTTCGTCTAACCACCAACAGACCTTTCTGGTATGGTAGGACCTCGAGGGAACAAGCGTTCCACCAGCATAGCTCGTTGGGTCATTGTGATATGCAAGCCCGACCACCATGTCAAGGTAGCAGCTATCGGTTTCGCACCACACAACTTTAGCCGTTTCTGATGCTGGATGGATATCCAAATGACCATTAAAGAATAAATGCATCGCAGCCACCCGTTTTGTCTTTGTTTACAACCCGATGCACCGGATCCCTGTGTCACGTCCTGAATTAATTTATTTGTTAAACGTAGTCATTTAACATACAAGGTATGATGTGGTTGGAGGTGTTCGATAATCGATACCTTCAAAATATAGTTCATATTTGGTGAAACTTCCATTTGATATTGGAGTTTACCATGACGAAGGTAAGTTGGTCGATGAAACACAGGACCTGCAATAAATGAAATGGTAGGGACGTTATCCATGCCAAATCACTGTTTAACACCACCTATACTACCGTGAGTAGGCATAAGCGGAAATAGATAGCTACAGATGAATTAGCTAATGTAACCGATTAGTCGATAAGATGGCTTTGTAAGTAAGTGACTTCTGGTTGCGTTTCGTGAGACAACTGAAATCGATATTTTGAGGCTGAAAGAATATCGTTCATAATCAAAGACAATGGTACAGACCCATCCACGCCTTATTGTTAATAAATGGAAATTTTATCTCATTATTCCTTCCATCGCGTTTTTTTTTCTGTTTGACAACCTTCAACTGTGGTATCAATTTCATTTTGTCTTTTTCCATCGTTGTTATTCACTTCAGCGCTCCATGAAACGTAGTTTTTTGAACTGATATGAAACTACCATGCGGTTTTACGTTGTTCACATTTCTTTCTGACAATTTACAATCCATAAGACCGCAATCATAACATATAAAAAGTAATGCCGATATCAGAACAAATGCTCTTGGAAAGATGACCAGTAAAGGAAGAAAACCTCACCGCCCACTCAATAACAACTCATATTATTGTTTGGCAAAAGAAAAAAGTGCGTACTTCAAATTTAGGGAAAAAAAATCCTTTAGAAAGCTCACAGACAATGGGAAATGTTATGCATCATACTTACGCATATGTTTTCGGTTCACCTTGGGCAATGAAACGTGTACGCAAAACATCCAAGGGTTGAGTAACTATTGCTGCTATAGATCCTGCTCCACACCCACACAGAAAATTACCAACAGGTTTGTAGGTTAAAGGTGAGCCCAGAATTTTGTTATCCGAAACGAGAATACTGTTGACTTCTTTCAACCATGAAGAAATTACTTCAAATGAGAGAAACTGAACACCAGTGAAAGTGACAGATTGCATTTGGGCAGGCACGTGACCTTTCCAAAAAGCAATAGCACCTTCCTCTTTGTTTATACACTTCACAGCCTGAACAAGGCCTTGGTACTTGCTCGATTTGGAAACTTTAATTGGTTCCATTTGCAACTACTCAAGATTAAATCATTTCAAAGTCATACCTGAAAGCGTATTTTCAATACATCCAACGGTTGTACAACGGCTCTAGCGACAAAGCCACTGACAGAACCGGCGAGAAGATACTCATTTTTAGACAGGCCTGTTTTTCCATCCTTTCCTTGGACCATCACTTCGCAGTCTTTAAATATTTGACATCTTCAAAGAAATCTGATGACAAGTGCGTTGGTTGTTCAACAACGCTCAACACTCCCGCCTAATAAGAAAAATATTATTACCACGGATATACATACCGGAAGGATACGTTCAAAGTTATTATCTAACAAGTCAGTTAAACTTACTTCTATAAAACCAACAGCTGACTGGGATGTAGTGGATTTAACCCTCACAGTATTCAAAGACAGGAAAGGCACAGCAAAATATGCAACTTATTACAGGCAAAAGGACAGAAAAATCCAAAACAGATTAAATACAACTGAGTAACTGAAAGATAATCACAAGCATATAATTGGGTATTATAAATGACCACTGCTTTTCAAACGGTCGCATTTTAATAGTCTGCAGACTCTTACGAAACTTAGCACTATACAGATTCATTGTTTCATTTATCAGTCCTATAACTATTCAAAATAAAACTGCCCTAAGCAAAACAACGTATTGTGGGGAATAGCTCTTCTAGGGTGACAGAAACAAGAACGTCAAACCACTCATAAGAATGCTTCGCACCAAGCTGACAATTCAAAACAGTATGCAAATAAAAGGTGGATAGAAAGTGATTTCAAAGTAGGCAAAGGTGTATAAAAAGGAAATTTTCAAGCTTTCGAAAATATCCGAGTTGATACATCTCCATAACTATCACCAGCATTCAGGTAATGACCTCCAGCCATTGGCTTCTATCCCACGAGGACACTAATGAGGCAGTCGACACCTCCCTACACGGCTCATACCAACAGTCAGACCGACGAGTGCCAGCCCGAGCACTACTTCAACTTCAGCTAACTTTGCAGACGGACAGACAAAACCAAAGTAGAACTTCGCATACAAGTGCATTGACCCAAGTTGCCATACTTCACAGTAGTACAAAAAGAACGGGTAGATAGAATAAGAGCTATATCAAAGTAGACAAAGTTGTGAGAGAATAAGTAATTTGAAAATAAAAATCAGCGCAAATATTCAAGCTATAGATGTCAAAGAGTGAATAAACCTGTACCACTATGAACGATTTCTAACTATTTCACCATTTACTCAACCACTGATTCCACCACCATTATCCATAATTAAACTGGAGGTAGTCGCAGACCAGTCCTGGAGCATCATCTTACATCTGACGGGTGCAAAACGCATACCAAACATACTCAGATTTTTTCTTAACGCCTTCATAAGACCCTGCATTGCATCAGCGTCTGCATCTAGTGCGACGTCTGCATATTCCATTCCAAGCCAACCAGGTGCCATACAGAGAGTAGATTAATCCTTATGAAGTAAGACGTACCTAAGGTTATGGCCATTAGCACGTCTATAACGAAGTTAAATAGGAACAGTAACAATGGATATCCTTGGCAAACTCCACAAGTTATCATCAATTCGGATGACAACTCACCATTGGCTCTTACACAGCTGCGTGAGTTCAAGTAGAGAGCTTTGATTGGCGTTACATACTTGTTCGGAACAACTTTTCATAGAATTCATCTTTTCCATCATCCGAACCGCAGTTGGCTGGTGCGTAAGAGATTACGAATAGACATCGGCCATTCTTACGATTCAATCTAGTTTTATAGATCCATTCGGTCGAACAGCAAACAAATACCTTCTGACTGGTATCCAGTCGAGAAGTACGCTTTGTCCTACGAATGAATGCTACGCCTACAGCAGCGAGTTTACAAGACTTGACCACTGAATCTCCGGATATCCGTGAATATTTAAGGTCCACTGTATTGGTCGGATGAGGTCAGTTTAATGACAACACTCGGGTCCTGCGTACATGTCTCAGGAACAGTATACATCCATGACTCGAGATTTCAGAGTTTTATCAATAGATGCCAGTTCTCCGACTCAGCACTGAGTTCCGACGTTGAAAGCTTCCGTGTGAAATAGAAAGCATGGTTTTAAGAAACTAGAGATGATGTTTTGCTGGCTGTGATCGTTAACAATGGCCGCAAGGTGAAAGGTTAAGGAAGTTGTAAGACGCCTAATATTGGTATCAGAAAGTGAAAGGTGGGAAATAATGGTAAACGGGGTAGTTTATATTTGATTGGGTTCTGTATACCGTTGGAAGTCCACGGGTGGTTAGCACTTCCCAGTTCCCCGCACTGTGGAAGTTGGTTACCCACGACCGAAGAGCCCATAGGACATATGCTTGGGGCCTGTCATACAGCCTTTTGGGGATTTTTAAATCGAGATTAGATCGTTATAACGCCGCATAATGAAAATCCATACCACCGGCACTGGATTATCACAGGGCGGGGAGGAGAGCAATTTCGGAGGTCAACCTTTCCCTAACGTCTTGGATTATGGTTTGAGACATGTGCGGTGAAGGAAACTTACTGCTTGGAGATTTGTAAGACAGCTAAGACCAAGGGTCTTAAACAGGGTGCAGATAATAATATACCGTGTCTCTACATTGTTTTTTTCTTATCCTTTTAGTCTTTTGAAACCACTACCAACCGTATTTCTTTGTTTGTTCTCGCCAACCTGTCCTTGAGCACCGATGTAAAATGCGGCAGACTGGGTTAGCATGCCATGTCACTCAAAGATAATGTCTGGGATCAGGTTCATGTCCATCTGGATACACACTACCTTTCATTTATTTTTCACTGGGCACCGAAAACCCAATTACAGAAATAGAGGTGAATTCTAAATCTCAGACATAACTCACGATTGTGTTGTTGAATTTATGAATAGCACAGCGTTTTATTGAACCAAGTTCAATTTCAAAAGTGAATAGTAGGTCGAAGATAATTAGAATAAAATAATCTTAGTAAAATACCTTATAGGGATTATATCCATCACAAGCACTACTATGTCTGTCTTTAGAAGGGATATGACAGCACCTTACAGTAGCGTACTATTGGTTGTCCTTGCTGACCAACACCACTAATCACTCGTTAGCACCTCATATGCATCTAACCATTTTTCGTGCCATACTATCCTTTTGGTTTACAGCATGTTACGATCAACATACTGAGACAATACTACTTCCTTGAGGGTTGCGGTTACTCCACTTAAGGTCAACAGATCACCCATCACTTTCGCAGAGCAAACATTATTTGTGCCATGATAACTTTTACTTTTAAAACCACCATCATTGCCTTTCAAAATCAATACATTTACTTATAATTGATTATACAAGTCAAAGACTATCATTTTACTCGAGAATCATAACGATATTATCCGAAAAGCCTTGACCATCTAAGACAAATCGTTGCAGGTGAGCTGGAACTTGATAACCTAAGAAGACGAAAGTCTGTTGAATGACGGCAATAGTAGGTGGTCCGTAACAAAATAAGTAAAAAGCTAACCAATCTAGTCAATAAAACCAGGCACGTTTCTAGTAAACGGCATGAAGAAAGGAGACACTGAAGACTTTTAATTATTTTTCTTACAAATAAAAAAACAACTAAATACAACACAATCTGGCTAAATGTTTGAACTACAAGTGACAGGCTGCTGTATGACTTACTGAAAAGATGTGCGATGCGCCGCCAAATAACTTGACCACTGCCTCGGGCTGAGTTGAACACGCGCCTTACGGCATGGTAGCCAATCACGACGCTGATTTTTCACCGTTGTAGGTTATTTCCCGCCATCTTAGAAGGCCATGTTAGATGACGTGTTTTGTGCTAGCTGTTTTCTTACTGATATATCCACATCGCAGGCATTGTTGACGTTCACGTAGATAACAAGTTTCACGCACTTATGCTACGTATATCTTCTCGTCTTCGTTGGTTACCTTATTTATGGGCAAATCATACAGTAGCCTGTCACTCGTAAGTCAAATCTCTGAACAGACTGTTGTATTTAGTTGTTTTTTTTATTTGTAAGAAAAATAATTAAGAGTCTTCAGTGTCTCCTTTCTTCATGCCGTTTACTAGAAACGTGCCTGGTTTTATTGACTAGATTGGTTAGCTTTTTACTTATTTTGTTACGGACCACCTACTATTGCCGTCATTCAACAGACTTTCGTCTTCTTAGGTTATCAAGTTCCAGCTCACCTGCAACGATTTGTCTTAGATGGTCAAGGCTTTTCGGATAATATCGTTATGATTCTCGAGTAAAATGATAGTCTTTGACTTGTATAATCAATTATAAGTAAATGTATTGATTTTGAAAGGCAATGATGGTGGTTTTAAAAGTAAAAGTTATCATGGCACAAATAATGTTTGCTCTGCGAAAGTGATGGGTGATCTGTTGACCTTAAGTGGAGTAACCGCAACCCTCAAGGAAGTAGTATTGTCTCAGTATGTTGATCGTAACATGCTGTAAACCAAAAGGATAGTATGGCACGAAAAATGGTTAGATGCATATGAGGTGCTAACGAGTGATTAGTGGTGTTGGTCAGCAAGGACAACCAATAGTACGCTACTGTAAGGTGCTGTCATATCCCTTCTAAAGACAGACATAGTAGTGCTTGTGATGGATATAATCCCTATAAGGTATTTTACTAAGATTATTTTATTCTAATTATCTTCGACCTACTATTCACTTTTGAAATTGAACTTGGTTCAATAAAACGCTGTGCTATTCATAAATTCAACAACACAATCGTGAGTTATGTCTGAGATTTAGAATTCACCTCTATTTCTGGTAATTGGGTTTTCGGTGCCCAGTGAAAAATAAATGAAAGGTAGTGTGTATCCAGATGGACATGAACCTGATCCCAGACATTATCTTTGAGTGACATGGCATGCTAACCCAGTCTGCCGCATTTTACATCGGTGCTCAAGGACAGGTTGGCGAGAACAAACAAAGAAATACGGTTGGTAGTGGTTTCAAAAGACTAAAAGGATAAGAAAAAAACAATGTAGAGACACGGTATATTATTATCTGCACCCTGTTTAAGACCCTTGGTCTTAGCTGTCTTACAAATCTCCAAGCAGTAAGTTTCCTTCACCGCACATGTCTCAAACCATAATCCAAGACGTTAGGGAAAGGTTGACCTCCGAAATTGCTCTCCTCCCCGCCCTGTGATAATCCAGTGCCGGTGGTATGGATTTTCATTATGCGGCGTTATAACGATCTAATCTCGATTTAAAAATCCCCAAAAGGCTGTATGACAGGCCCCAAGCATATGTCCTATGGGCTCTTCGGTCGTGGGTAACCAACTTCCACAGTGCGGGGAACTGGGAAGTGCTAACCACCCGTGGACTTCCAACGGTATACAGAACCCAATCAAATATAAACTACCCCGTTTACCATTATTTCCCACCTTTCACTTTCTGATACCAATATTAGGCGTCTTACAACTTCCTTAACCTTTCACCTTGCGGCCATTGTTAACGATCACAGCCAGCAAAACATCATCTCTAGTTTCTTAAAACCATGCTTTCTATTTCACACGGAAGCTTTCAACGTCGGAACTCAGTGCTGAGTCGGAGAACTGGCATCTATTGATAAAACTCTGAAATCTCGAGTCATGGATGTATACTGTTCCTGAGACATGTACGCAGGACCCGAGTGTTGTCATTAAACTGACCTCATCCGACCAATACAGTGGACCTTAAATATTCACGGATATCCGGAGATTCAGTGGTCAAGTCTTGTAAACTCGCTGCTGTAGGCGTAGCATTCATTCGTAGGACAAAGCGTACTTCTCGACTGGATACCAGTCAGAAGGTATTTGTTTGCTGTTCGACCGAATGGATCTATAAAAACTAGATTGAATCGTAAGAATGGCCGATGTCTATTCGTAATCTCTTACGCACCAGCCAACTGCGGTTCGGATGATGGAAAAGATGAATTCTATGAAAAGTTGTTCCGAACAAGTATGTAACGCCAATCAAAGCTCTCTACTTGAACTCACGCAGCTGTGTAAGAGCCAATGGTGAGTTGTCATCCGAATTGATGATAACTTGTGGAGTTTGCCAAGGATATCCATTGTTACTGTTCCTATTTAACTTCGTTATAGACGTGCTAATGGCCATAACCTTAGGTACGTCTTACTTCATAAGGATTAATCTACTCTCTGTATGGCACCTGGTTGGCTTGGAATGGAATATGCAGACGTCGCACTAGATGCAGACGCTGATGCAATGCAGGGTCTTATGAAGGCGTTAAGAAAAAATCTGAGTATGTTTGGTATGCGTTTTGCACCCGTCAGATGTAAGATGATGCTCCAGGACTGGTCTGCGACTACCTCCAGTTTAATTATGGATAATGGTGGTGGAATCAGTGGTTGAGTAAATGGTGAAATAGTTAGAAATCGTTCATAGTGGTACAGGTTTATTCACTCTTTGACATCTATAGCTTGAATATTTGCGCTGATTTTTATTTTCAAATTACTTATTCTCTCACAACTTTGTCTACTTTGATATAGCTCTTATTCTATCTACCCGTTCTTTTTGTACTACTGTGAAGTATGGCAACTTGGGTCAATGCACTTGTATGCGAAGTTCTACTTTGGTTTTGTCTGTCCGTCTGCAAAGTTAGCTGAAGTTGAAGTAGTGCTCGGGCTGGCACTCGTCGGTCTGACTGTTGGTATGAGCCGTGTAGGGAGGTGTCGACTGCCTCATTAGTGTCCTCGTGGGGATAGAAGCCAATGGCTGGAGGTCATTACCTGAATGCTGGTGATAGTTATGGAGATGTATCAACTCGGATATTTTCGAAAGCTTGAAAATTTCCTTTTTATACACCTTTGCCTACTTTGAAATCACTTTCTATCCACCTTTTATTTGCATACTGTTTTGAATTGTCAGCTTGGTGCGAAGCATTCTTATGAGTGGTTTGACGTTCTTGTTTCTGTCACCCTAGAAGAGCTATTCCCCACAATACGTTGTTTTGCTTAGGGCAGTTTTATTTTGAATAGTTGTAGGACTGATAAATGAAACAATGAATCTGTATAGTGCTAAGTTTCGTAAGAGTCTGCAGACTATTAAAATGCGACCGTTTGAAAAGCAGTGGTCATTTATAATACCCAATTATATGCTTGTGATTATCTTTCAGTTACTCAGTTGTATTTAATCTGTTTTGGATTTTTCTGTCCTTTTGCCTGTAATAAGTTGCATATTTTGCTGTGCCTTTCCTGTCTTTGAATACTGTGAGGGTTAAATCCACTACATCCCAGTCAGCTGTTGGTTTTATAGAAGTAAGTTTAACTGACTTGTTAGATAATAACTTTGAACGTATCCTTCCGGTATGTATATCCGTGGTAATAATATTTTTCTTATTAGGCGGGAGTGTTGAGCGTTGTTGAACAACCAACGCACTTGTCATCAGATTTCTTTGAAGATGTCAAATATTTAAAGACTGCGAAGTGATGGTCCAAGGAAAGGATGGAAAAACAGGCCTGTCTAAAAATGAGTATCTTCTCGCCGGTTCTGTCAGTGGCTTTGTCGCTAGAGCCGTTGTACAACCGTTGGATGTATTGAAAATACGCTTTCAGGTATGACTTTGAAATGATTTAATCTTGAGTAGTTGCAAATGGAACCAATTAAAGTTTCCAAATCGAGCAAGTACCAAGGCCTTGTTCAGGCTGTGAAGTGTATAAACAAAGAGGAAGGTGCTATTGCTTTTTGGAAAGGTCACGTGCCTGCCCAAATGCAATCTGTCACTTTCACTGGTGTTCAGTTTCTCTCATTTGAAGTAATTTCTTCATGGTTGAAAGAAGTCAACAGTATTCTCGTTTCGGATAACAAAATTCTGGGCTCACCTTTAACCTACAAACCTGTTGGTAATTTTCTGTGTGGGTGTGGAGCAGGATCTATAGCAGCAATAGTTACTCAACCCTTGGATGTTTTGCGTACACGTTTCATTGCCCAAGGTGAACCGAAAACATATGCGTAAGTATGATGCATAACATTTCCCATTGTCTGTGAGCTTTCTAAAGGATTTTTTTTCCCTAAATTTGAAGTACGCACTTTTTTCTTTTGCCAAACAATAATATGAGTTGTTATTGAGTGGGCGGTGAGGTTTTCTTCCTTTACTGGTCATCTTTCCAAGAGCATTTGTTCTGATATCGGCATTACTTTTTATATGTTATGATTGCGGTCTTATGGATTGTAAATTGTCAGAAAGAAATGTGAACAACGTAAAACCGCATGGTAGTTTCATATCAGTTCAAAAAACTACGTTTCATGGAGCGCTGAAGTGAATAACAACGATGGAAAAAGACAAAATGAAATTGATACCACAGTTGAAGGTTGTCAAACAGAAAAAAAAACGCGATGGAAGGAATAATGAGATAAAATTTCCATTTATTAACAATAAGGCGTGGATGGGTCTGTACCATTGTCTTTGATTATGAACGATATTCTTTCAGCCTCAAAATATCGATTTCAGTTGTCTCACGAAACGCAACCAGAAGTCACTTACTTACAAAGCCATCTTATCGACTAATCGGTTACATTAGCTAATTCATCTGTAGCTATCTATTTCCGCTTATGCCTACTCACGGTAGTATAGGTGGTGTTAAACAGTGATTTGGCATGGATAACGTCCCTACCATTTCATTTATTGCAGGTCCTGTGTTTCATCGACCAACTTACCTTCGTCATGGTAAACTCCAATATCAAATGGAAGTTTCACCAAATATGAACTATATTTTGAAGGTATCGATTATCGAACACCTCCAACCACATCATACCTTGTATGTTAAATGACTACGTTTAACAAATAAATTAATTCAGGACGTGACACAGGGATCCGGTGCATCGGGTTGTAAACAAAGACAAAACGGGTGGCTGCGATGCATTTATTCTTTAATGGTCATTTGGATATCCATCCAGCATCAGAAACGGCTAAAGTTGTGTGGTGCGAAACCGATAGCTGCTACCTTGACATGGTGGTCGGGCTTGCATATCACAATGACCCAACGAGCTATGCTGGTGGAACGCTTGTTCCCTCGAGGTCCTACCATACCAGAAAAGGTCTGTTGGGTAGTGGTTAGACGAAAAGCAGTTACCGTTGTGGTGTAAATTGCTACACTATGATGGGGGTCTGAGGGCGAAGTCGTACTGCTGCTAGCTGGATGGGGTGTGACAGCAGTAAGGTGTTTCCCTTGGATGACCAGCAGTGCCAAGCTGATGCTGCCTTCTCAGTGGAAGGGGGGGTTAGAAAAGGTCGGCCCCAAAAATAACACACTCCACCACGCCCCACGGTCTGCCGGGCCGGCGGTGTTGGTTCACTTGTCGTTTCCTTTCGACCATCCGGCCCCAAAAATACAAAATTTCAAAATAACCATACTCAAAAGGCTGGGTGTGACAGGCCTCAAGCAGATGTCCGATGGGCTCTGCGGTCACACAAATCTCTTTCAGGTACCTTAAGAAGAAATAGCCTTCCACGGTGTGGGCAGCCGGGAAGTGTCAACCGCCCTCACAACTCTGTCAGCACCCAAGTTTCTTCTGACTGCTATCCTCCTCCTCCATCATTACCTTCTAATCTTCCTTCACGTCTCTTAATTAATGATGCTGCATCATCTTCAATTTCTCCTACCTCTGCAGCCTTCGACAACGATCTGAGTCCACAGAACAGCATCTCTGGTCTCCTTAAACCACGCTCCAAATTACATATTGGAGCCTTCAATGTCCGCACCCTCCGTCAAATTGGCCAACAGGCTTCGTTGGCAAAGACTCTAGCAACTCGGGCCATGGATGTGTGCTGTGTTTGTGAGACACGCATACAGGACCCAAGTGTGGTTATTCACCTGACCTCTCCTGACCAATCTGGTGAATCTGCAAAATTCACCCTTCGAGTTTCTGGAGATTCGATAGCTAGCTCTCGTGGTCTTGCAGGTGTAGGTATAGCATTAAGCACCAGGGCAGAAAACTCACTACTAGACTGGATCCCAGTTGATAGTCGCCTCTGCGCTATGAGGCTGAACGGCACAGTGAGAACTAAAAGGAATAGTGAGACTCGCCGTTGTCTCTTTGTAATCTCTGCTTACGCACCCACTGACTGTAGTTCGGATGAAGTGAAGGACGAGTTCTACCATAAACTGTCTAACCTCCTCTCGAAAGCCAAACGTTCGGACGTGGTGGTTGTTGCAGGTGACCTCAACGCACAGGTGGGTAGACTGAGTGAGGCAGAAAGGCACTTAGGTGGCACTTTCGGAATCCCAGCTGAACGTACAGATAACGGTGATCGCCTATTACAACTATGCTCAGATAACCGCCTATTTTTAGCCAGCACAAATTTCAGACATAAAGAAAGGCACTGTCTGACCTGGCGTCCACCGAGCTCGACTCAGCGATGGACACAGATAGACCACATTGCTATTAGTCATCGCTGGAGAGGATCGGTGGAAGACTGCCGCTCCTTCTGGAGTACGTGTTTGGACAGCGATCATGCGTTGGTCCGAGCACGTATATGCCTGCGTCTCAATGGACGTAGAAAAAATTTGGCAACAAAACCACTACGAGTTCTGCTGGACAACGAAAACACCAAAGCCGTGTTCAGTGAGAAGTTGGCTAGGCAGTTATCGGAACAAAAGACTGTCACTCATCCAGAAGAAGCTTGGTGCCATCTTCAGTCTACTGTAAAAGCAGCACTGGAGACTGTAGCCGACTCCAAGATAATGGCTAAAAAGAGCCAGTGGATATCAGCAGCTTCTTCCAAACTAATGGATGCACGTGAATGCATCCCTGCAGGCTCTGAGTACAATGAAGAGCGAGCGCAACTTAAAAATAAACTGACGAAAAGTCTGCGCAACGATCGTGAACAGTGGTGGGCAGCGAAGGCTAAAGAGATGGAAAAGGCAGCGGCGATCGGTAACAGTAGACAGTTATTTAGACTTATTAAGGAGACTGGGGGGAAATGGTCAACAACAGTTAGTGAGGTTATAGCGGAGAAGGACGGATCTGCGATTCACTCGCAGGGAAGGCGACTGGGACGATGGGCAGAACACTTCGAGGAACAGTTTAACTGGCCTCCAGCCACCATTGCGCTGCCCGCTATCCAGTCGGACCCTGAATGGGACATAGAGACAGGTCCCCCAACACTAGAAGAAGTTGAGAAAGCGGTAGGTAGCCTGAAACGAGGAAGGGCAGCAGGACCAGACGGACTACCTGCTGAGGTATACAAGAATGGTGGTAGAGTTCTCTTAGTCAGGCTAACGGAAGTGTTAGCCAGTATATGGGAATCAAATACGATCCCCTCCGACTGGTCTAAGTCACTGATCATCCCAGTCTTCAAGAAAGGCGAGAAGTCCTCTTGTGATAACCACAGAGGAATCAGCCTGACAAACATAGTGTCTAAGATCCTAAGTTCTATAATTCTCCGACGCCTGAGTGGAGCTCGGGAACAGCAAGCCCGAGAAAACCAGGCAGGCTTTAGACCTGGCCGCGAGTGTATCGACCAAATATTCACACTGCGCCAGGTCCTGGAACATAGGCATGCTTACAGACGCCCGACAAT